GCTGTTGAAAATGCAAGTTTTCTCTCTTTATCCTGGTCTGCTTAAACTCTACTTTTACAAAAATGGTTTGTCTCTGTGATTACTCCTTTCAGCCTGTCTACCTTGTTTCTCTTTCATACCAAAGTGTATACAGGGAAGCTTCTGTCATTACTCCTCACATCTAGTCCCATGGTCTCACACAGGGGACCACTGGTTTATCCCTCAGAATGTGCCAGTGACTTTGGAGGACTAAACTTCAGCAGCTTTACCTAAAATCTGCAGCTTTAGGAGTTCTCTCGCAGCATCTTTCTACACTCCTTGGAGTTTCACTGGATTTGGCAGCCCTTCCTCATATATTGTGGTTCCAGATTACAGACCTCTCTTAGTTTCATCAAAGAAGGAATCTGACTGTTTTTCATTTTCTTTCATTGCTCTGAGGTAATTCTAAACAAAAGAAGGAACTGACATCTTTATCCTACCGCTTTAAAATGAGAAGTTAAGTAAGCAATTTTAAGGGTCTAACCACACAATTAGAAACAATCTACCCCAAGTTGGGAGCATGGAAATAGTGAAATGACCAAGGGTATAAAAATGTCAAAAATATTAAAGTATGTAGCTATTAATTTATGTAATAATTGTAAGTGTTTGTGACAATATATAATTGTATATGGAAAATGCATACGATGATTGTAAAAACTATCTATATTGGGGTCATAAATAAGTAAAATATATACATGTACAGGATGAAGAACGGAAGGGAAAAATGAAAATTGTTTTTTGTTAAGGGTAATGAACACTAAGTAACGTTTTTCATTAAAAAAAGTTTTTGTTGTTGTCACAGTATAGTCTGTGCAATAAAAAACACAATGTTCCAAAAAGAAAAACAATCAAGACCATACAGAGATTTACTCCAGCACCTACAAAACACAAATCATTAAAAATGCAATGACTGGCTCCCCACTTGCCAGTACTAACTATGTCCTATCCCTGGAGGCAAGCTCCAAAGTTGCATCCTTTTGCTCCAATTCCAACCCAGGTTCTTTACAGCAGCCAGGTGTCTCCCTGCCTCCCCTGCCTACACCACTCCCTCCCCACTAGAGATTAACTCTACTCCAACAGACCACTGTCTACTCAGCACTGACGATGTGCCAGGCACTGTAAGGGGAGCACAGCAAGTAAGAGTATGGGCTTTAAACCCTTTAGTTTGTTTTGTTTATAATAAAGAGCAGCAAAAAAAAAAAGCAGGTTGCATTTAAAGGACAAGTTAGAGTTAAAATGTTTGGGCTTTGGAAACAACCAGATTAAATAAAATAAAAGTAGAATGCACCTATAACAGTGCCAAGGACATAGCAGACATTCAATCAAGGATATTTAAAAAAATCTCTTATACTTTAAATTTCGCAGCAAAGGCAATATAACACAATGGTTAAGACAACAAGAAACTGACTTTTTAATTTAAAAAATATGCTAGGAAAGGATACTACATACACATTTTCTGTGACCATTTAAACCAACATCTTCTTTTCGGCTCCAAGTTTCTGTCCCAGGGTTCCCACATATGAAATACTAACACTGCTATGAACATTTAAAAAAATTACTTTGAATGCATAAACTGAATATATGATTAGTCTATTTTATTAGCAATATTTTTACTCTCTGAATAATTACAACTAATTCAGAGTATTCAAAAGATCAAAGTATTTACATAAAAAACTAGCCTGGCAATTTTGATAAGTTATAACTCAAATAAAAAAGGGAAATAGATTTACACTTCTCAAATATTCCCATCATCCCCCAAGATGAAAATGTAAAGGAGTAAATTTAGGAAGGCGTATAAACTCTGAAAATGAGCTTTCCCTTTGGCTAAGTAATACCGTTGATCGGTAAAGGCTGATTTCACTGGTTTATTCACAGAAAATGTATAAGCACTTTAAAATTAAAGTTCAATTTAAATAAAATTTAAAAATTAGTTCCCCTGATGCACTAGCCACATTTCCAGTGTTCAATCACTACATCTGGCTGGCAGCTACTGTACTGGACAGTGTAGATTTAGATCATTTCCTTCAGCACAGAGAGTTCTGTTGGAGACCACTGGGTATAGATAATTCTAAGATGAAAAATAAGCCAGTCTATCATCTGGTTTGAGAAATGATTACAACATCTGAGGATTCCTCTTGTGACACAGGGGTGAAAAAAACCCAGAGAGCTTGAATAGAGAGGGAAAAACGCACCAAGACTCTGAGCTCAGCTTTAAGTGTAAGGGGTGCGGGTGGTGTGGGGAGGCCTGTGAGAGGGTGCGCCTGTCTCCCAGCTTCTCCCAGCCTGTGTCTGAGGCAGAGACAGAATCTGGCCTCCGGTCTCTTTCTTCTCATGCTACATACTCCTCAAACAATCCTGCCCACACAGCTACAAGCCGGTAACATGAAAAGGTCCGTTTCCAACACACATGGAACTCCTGCCTTCAGATCCGTAAATCCAGCTCCCCTTACTCCATATCTTTACTTGGATTGTTTGGAAAGTGACTCACAATGTATCCAAACCTGAACTCATCATTTCTTGCCTTGCTGCCTCCTGCATAAAAAAGAATGTGGTTGGCCTTTGTCTCCAGTTCCTGAGAGGCAGCCAATAAACCCTTGAATTTCCCTGTGACAAGAGTATCTTTATTATTCATGGTAGGCTCCTTGGCCCACATCTGACAGCTTGTGCTAACAGGTGACTCAGGGTGGGCCCCTAGATGGTTTCTGCTAAGGAGATGACTCAGGATGGGAGCTGGCCAAGCCAGAAAGACCAACCGTGTGCTTAGAGGGTTGGCGCTCTGAGCCAACAGATATCAGCTTGACCTCTGGCAAGTGGAGAGCAGCTGGAGATTGAGTTCAACCTTGTGGCCCATGATTTAATTAATCATGCATACATAAAGAAACACCAGTAAAAACTCTCAACACCAGAGCTCAGGTAAGCTTCCCGGGCTGGCAATACTCTACACATTGTTGCACACTGATGTGCCAGGAGGATGATGCATCCTGACTCTATAGGAAGAGGACAATGGAAACTCGGAGTCTGGGACTCTCCCAGACTTTTCCCACTGTGCCTCTCCCTTTGGCTGGTTCTGATTTGTATCCTATTTCTATAATAAAATTGTAATTATAAGTAGAGAGCTTTCCTGAGTTCTGTGTCATTTTAGTGAATGGATAGCCAGTTGGTCAGAAGTGAGAGTAGCCTGGAGTCGCCCAAAGTTGTGACTGGCTTCTGAAGTAAGGGTCAGTTTTGGGGATGACTGTGCCCTCAACCTATAAAGTGTGGCTTAACTCCGGGTAGTTGGTCGGAAGTCACTGTACCCTTCAGATCTGCTCCTCCCACAGGGTTCACAATCATAGCGAATGAAGATCTACCCATCTATCCTTCTGCTAACAGGAGAAAGAAGGTCATCACTGATAATTTTTCCTCCTCAACTGCACTCCACACAAACGATGAATCAGTACATCCTTCCAACTCCTGCCCCGTCTACAAAGCCATACATGACCTGGCCTTTTCTTCAGGTTTCTTGATGATGGGCTGTATCCATTTAAGGGTGCTAGTAGGGCCATGTATAAGCTTTAAATTAAAGAGCTAAACTTACAGTTTAAAATTATGTGATCTCTTTCACCGTGTCTCCTTGCTATAGAGTTACTAGCATTTACTTTTGACTTTATGCCCACAAAGGGGAAATTCCAGGCTTTATTCAGAATATTTGTATTAATAAATAAGTTTTAAATTTCTCAATTCCAGGGAATCTGTTTATAGGTACTCAATTTTAAAGAGACAGGTGAGTAAAATGTTTCTTGACAAGAAAATCTACCAACTGTCACTGAAGGGTAAGAATTATTATTTTTTGGTACCATGATTATTTGTATAAAGATATATCCATACTGTACCTATAAAGTAATATGACAGGTTTTAAAAATAAACATACTAGAAATTACTGATAAAAATAAAATTTGTCATTCAAAGCAGTCTCCTTTGGAGACTCATTCCAATAATGGAACCAAAGCTCAAAATATTTTGGAAAATTCTCTTTGGGAACTGTCTTCACATTCTGCATAGATACTTTTGAATATTCTCATAGATGATAAATCTTTGCCCTGTGAAACTCAATTTTACCTTTGTAAGCAACTAATCATTAAAAGCCATGGTGGGAAATAAGGTCAAAGATCATGACATTTCTGATGAAAAGAAAGGTATATTTGGATGAAAACCACTGGCAATGTGTAAGTTTTAAGTGATATACTTGCTCTGAACCAAAGCCAAATTAAAGGAGGTCGGAGGGGAGGGAGGGAGGGAGGGAGGGAGGGAGAGGGAGGGAGGGGGAGAGAGGGAGAGAGGGAGGGAGGGAGGGAGGGAGGGAAGGAGGGAGGGAGGGGAAAGACAACAAGGAAACTGGTATTTAAAGAGTCATACACTCTCTTGAAAATCTGATGAGTTATGGCTTCCTCTCAATCTTCTGCATATATTATTAGAAAGGTACACCACATCAAGGTCATCTATGGAGCCAGATTAAAATTCCCTGGTTTAGAACAGTAGCTTTCGCTTTCTTTTTCTTTCTTTCATTTTTTTTTTTTTTTTACTGTACCCAACAGAAAAAAAAAATTTATACTGTGACCCAGTTTGTACATACATACATATAATTAAAAGTTTCACAAATAATTATCAACCTTACCATGTGATAGTATTCTCTTATGTTTGATTTCATTATGAAAAATGCTACTTATGACCTACTACACCAATTTCACAATCTACAGCTTGAAAAATACTGGTTTAGAGTAACTGATGCATGATATGAATAAACTAATGATAATGGGAAAACTCACTTGATTATAAAAATTTTGATGTTATTTTAAACTAACGAAGAAAAAGTCATTTTACTCTACAGCCAAACTTTTCAAGAGACTGGATTCTTTATGGCAAAACGGACTGTCTTGGTCATTCGTCTAAATGGCTAACTAACTACTGGAGACACTGATGGGTAAATCATACAATGTTCATACCTTAATATTAGAAAACCACAAATCATTCTCATGTAAAGTGGCCAGGTAGACAGATGTAAGAAGTCCAGTGCAAAGGGCAACAGTTCCACCAATTGTAAATGAAAGAATCGTCCATAATCTTCTATTGGTACAACCTTTTAGAAAAATGAACAGATGAAAAACCAAGTCAGTAAAGGATTTAGCAGTTAATAGTTCTATTTCAGACTGTCCAACGTGCCAAGTTCCAGCTGCCTGTTAGTGGTGAAGCTTTCCGTGTCTCCAGCAGACAGTTAGGGGTTCCGTTTTGTGATTCCACAGACCTTTTTATACTTTTCATACTTTTATTATAGTTTTTCCCCCACTGTATCTAACTGTTCATTTGTCCATTTTGCCAACTAGAATGTAAGCATCTTGAGGACCAGCATATTATCTTATTCATCTTAACACCTAGGACCTGTGCTTGACCTAGTTTAACTACTAAGTTTCTTAAATAGAGGAATAAATGGGTTACAGATCTAAAATATAAACAGTCTTTTAGATGATCTACTTACAATGTGTGGTTTATTCATTAAAAGCTACTCCCAAACTTGATACTTAAAATTTTAAACCCCATCACACAAGTTAAAGGAATATAAACTAAGAAACATATTTATAGTACATATAAGAAAGGTTAAATATCCTTAATATAGAATAAATACTTTCAGGATAATAAAAAAAATGAATATTTCAGTAGGAAACTGATTAAGGACATGAATAGGCAATGCACAGAAGAAAAAATGGCCAATAAACTTAATAGAAAAAAAAAGTTAGTATTAATGAAATGCAAACCAAAACAAAGAGCTATAACTTTTACAATAGTGGCCAATTTGATAGCTTAAAAATGCTTAGTACTCTGTTTTGGTAAGGATACAAAAATATCGCCTTTTTTTTTTTTTAAATAGACATTTTTTAAACACTGCTGGTGTTAGAATAAATGGATACCTCTCTGGAATGTGACATGGCAACAGGAAGTAAAAGCCACCAAAATGAGCACACTATTTGACCAATAATTGCAAATCTAGGCATATACCCCAAAGAAATAAAGTTTTAAACAAACATTTGGCCACTGTGGTTCAGGTTGTATAGGTAAAAGGTTAAAAATCATCTAAATATTCAATAAGAAATTAAATAAATTATGCTACAGTCACACAGTGACTACACACTGACAAAATTTTAAAAATACACTGACTGACATATGTTCATAACACAACAAGAGAAAGATAGCAAGTTACACAACAGCGAGTAGGATCTCAATTTTGAGAAAAAACACATCTGAATGCTTGTAGGTATACATGTACAGAGAACAACATTTAGACAGCAAGATAAAGTGTCATAGGTGGTAATCTCAGGATGAGTGGGTTTGCGGGAGTATTTTTTCCTTCATTTTTGCTTTTCTTTAGTTTTCTTTTTTTTATTTTTACATGAATAAATACTCCTTTGGTAAAATGAACAGTCCTCAAAGTTATGTTTTAATTTAAAAGGACAAACTTGAACCTGTATTTGTTTTTATATAAGATTTTCAGAAAATACTCTGTATTGTCCCAAATTGCTAATAGCTGAGTTGGGTGGCATGACTGCTCAATATAGATTACTTTTATTTTATAAAACTGTCACCCTCCCCACCAAAAAAATAAATAAATAAAAAATAAAACTGTTACCCCAAATTACTTTACTAGCTCTAGCTGCAGCTGATGTAAACTCTGTCAGATATCCAAAATGGCTGACAGACATGGAATTTTTCATGCTTACTTTAAAAAATCCTGACCATGCTTAGCCTAAGAAAGCAACTCGGGTAGCAGGAATTTGGTAATTAATGCCATTTGATGTATGGCTTAGCAAGAGTCTTCAACATTATTTAAACAATTTACCAAATTCTGACCACTTTTCCCACCAAAAAAAAAAAGCAAATTAGAAAATTTCAGGAATTTAACTGAAAATAAAGAATAAAAGAAAGTTTGAGTCATCTTTCAATACTTTAATGAAATGAGAAACTCACCCAAGGTAAGGCTGTCTAGTTGTGAACAGCATACACAAACCAGAAAAATTAGAAGTAGACTAAAATCTGAACAGTGGGAAAAAGTATTACTCTCAAAGTCAAAGGATCAGATTGGCATAACTATACTGAACAGGCAGCTGAGAAGCAAAGGGCTCTAATCAGAGGTCTTTTATCTAATCATAACTGTAAAACAAATATTATCACATTGCGATCAAATCATCTGTAAAACTAAAATATCAAGGTAATAGAATAAGTTTCTTCACCTATTAGGTCTCACCAAATTTTTATCCTATTGGAGAGTGATTATTTCAATATGCAGACAAAAAAGCAATCCCAAATGCTGCTTTAATTTAAATCACCTACTAGATGACAATTTATTTTCCAACTTCACATTTTCTTCTTGTGCCACGTAATCCTCTGAAACTTCTGTGGTTTGTATTCCTTTTCTTTGCCTGATGGATATCATGGTGTCAAAGACTCACATGCATTGTTCTTCCAACCACTCCTACAAACAACACAGAATTAAGCCACCATCCATATGTCCGTACCCTCTCTGCCAAATACAGCCTGTGCTCATCTGTGTTTTGGAGACTTTACCTGAGCCATTTTCCCTTGCTTAGGACGCCCTCCCATTTTCCCATCCAAACCTTAACCGGCTTTCAAAGCTACTCTCAAGACACAACACAAATATTTCTTTAACACAACCACATTTATGAAGCGCCTGTCCTGTGGCAGGCACTGCCAAGAGTTAGGAGCCCAGGTGAGCATCACAGACAATCCCCTGCCCTTCTTCCAGGAAACCTTCTTTCTTGGGATGCACCAACCCCTACTGATCTCTCCCCTTCCCGAGTCATAGCAGTTACCACGCATTTTGTCACATAATTAGGTAGTTTTATATTATTTTCTATAGTACCAACCATGGAAAAGGTATTAAGTAGTAAATTTGTTGATTGTTGATGGTCTGATTTTGAAGAACTGAAACACTGTTTTGTCTCCGGTATCTGGATTTTGATACTGGTGCTCCTTCAAACAATTCACACTGGAAGCTTTAGGAATATGCCTCAGTGGTGATGGCAGCGGGGGTGTGCCAATCAGGGCAGCTGCTACACCAGGCAGCAACAGTGGGAGTGACGGCAGGGAGCAGGGGCCTGGTTTGGAAGCAGTAAGTGGGAGGCAGGGGAGTGGTGGCAGTGAGTAAGCTGGCTACAGTCCCCCGGAACAGCTGGCGTCACTCCTCCGACGAATGAACAGCGTTTAACCATTTATTAACTATGACCGGTTGCCGGACACGACTGTCGGGGCAGTTTATTAATTCCTAAAGGTAAACAAGTTGCTCTACTGAAAAGAACACACCAATCAACGTTATACCATTCATTCATTCATACAAAAAAAAAAATCTGAGAGTAAAAAGGTGCAAGCACCGAAAATGGAGACTCTGGAGCAACGAGGGAGAAAAGGAGTGTGGGCAAAGTCGTACCTCTACAGATGAGCTTACCCGCAGATTACCTCATCCTAGAATCATGACCTTTCTAAGGGCCCCAAGCGGAGTTGTAAAAAGCCCACAACTGATACAACGTAACACATTAGGACAGAAGGGCAACAAATGTTTAAGTGCCAACTACGTGTGATAACTGCATGAACCCAAGAAACAAAAGTTTGCCCATCAAATTACAAGGAATGCCATCTTAAATGTTTGAAAAGGGAAATGAGAGCGGGTGGTTTTTTTCTCCATTGCTTAGAAGAACCAGCACGTACTGGGCATCCCGGGGCGCTGCAGGGCACATTATTCAGCTCACCTCCGCAACCCAAGCTACACCACCGGAGTCCCCGCCAGACGCTGAGGGGCCGAATAAGTTCAGTAACTCGCTCCGGCTCACCTAGGAAGTGGCGTGGCCGCCGAGGCCGGAGACCACCCAGCCCCTCCCTCCGCCCGCGTGGCCAAAGCAAGAAGTCGCCCGAGAAGGCGCCCCGCCCTCGGCAAACTTGCTCTCTCCCAAGCTGCCGCCCCCAGTTCCGCACGTCGGGAGGACAAGGGGGAGCCCAGTCCCACACCGGGTCTCCGCAGACGCCGCGAGGGCCGGATTCGCGCCCCCACCCTGAGCGACGCAGCGGGGCGGCCCGCGGGCTTTCGGTCTTCGCGGCAGATTCAGCCAAACGCCGCCACGCAAGGGCGGAGCGCCACCCGCCCGCCGGACTGTCCGGGGCCGCCGACGGAGCCTCGCGCCCGTGCGTCCCCTCGCGCTGCCCGCGGCCCGAAACGCAGCCACAGACCTGCGGCCTCAGCCGTCCTCGCGCGCGGCTCCGGACCGGGAACGGGGGCAGCCGGCCGGCCGGCCGGGGTCGCAGAGGGCCGTGGGGGCGGGGCCGCACTACGGCCAGCAACGCGCCGCGGGGAAAGCTAAAATCCAGCAGCCGCGGAGCTTTGTGCTGCACCTTGGAAATGGGGGGCTGGGGGGAGTCACCGCCCCGGGGAGGGGGCGCGCCGGGGAGGCTGGGCCACTGAGGCCGCGCCTATAGGTCCCGGGAGCCGTCCGTCAGCACGGGCCACCTCCCCCTCTCGGGGCGCCCCGCCCCGTCTCGTGCGGCGCCGGCCGGAAGGAAGCGGCGCACTTCCGGCCGCCGGGCTGTAGTGTTGGCTGAGCTCCGCTCCGTTCCGCTATGTCCCGCGGCTCCCGGCACCCCTCGAAGAACATTGGACCCCCGTCACCGACCGAGGAGCCCGAGGCCACCTTCGCCTACGCAGACTCCCGCCACCCCCAGGCCAGAGCGAGCGGCGCTGCTCGGGGGAAGAGGGCCGGGATGCGAATAAGGGTGGCCTCAAGTCGAACCCCGGGTGGGGAGGGTGAGACGGGCTGGGGGGCGCGAAAAACTCTTTCTTGCGCCGGTGCCCTCCTGTCTCCTGTGCTGGTGGATGTGGAGGGGTCAGTAAGGGCCCGGTGGACGGAAGCAGTCGGACCACTCGGACATCTCCGAGCTAACCGCGTTGCCAAGGCCTGGCGCGCCCCCTTCTCGGGTCTTGGCAACACCCCCAGGCCCCAACTGCCGGTGATCTGTGTTTGGAAGTCTTTTACCGACTGCCAGTGAGGTACTTTCGCATCTCCAAAGACGCGCCTCTTTTTGGCGAGGGGGGCAGGGCGCGCTGTCTTCTTCCAAATTTTGTGTAGAATACGTTCCTCTGTCTTCTTAGGCTCCTGTGTTACTCTGTCTCCAAACTAGAGTGTAAGCCTTTTCGGAGGGCAGTTGCTGTGTTGTATACGTGGATATCTTTCTTAATCACACTTTGATGAACAGTAGGTAAAGCCTTTTGTTAGCAGATTCTCCGAGCACATGTTAATTGATTTTTATTAAGGAATGGTCCTCTGGGTCTTCCACCTGTGAAGAGGACTGCTCGTCTGTCTAATTCCAGGAATTACTTCAGCCAGGTGCCTTTCCTTGTTTCCCCTGTTTGATATTTTCCTCCTCCTTTGTGTGTCTGTTGCTGTTAATAACAGACACACATTCTGTGTCAATGGGTTGAGGTATCTGCTGGTGGTTTTAATAAAAATAAATGTCAGCTGTTTTTTCAGGTGGCATTTGTCATGTTTAACATGATTGTTGGTGTCTTTTTTTCATGTTATGGACTTGAGAACAGGGACTGTATATTTATAATCTTTCTCTTTCGCCTTAAGATGCTTTACATAAGATACATTTGTGTGTTTAATAAATACATATGTGAATTGATTCCTCCTTAAGTAGAATTCCCCCTCTCCTCCCCACCTTATTATGTAGGGTTTTTTCTTAAACTGTCTTGCGCACTGGGGAAAAAAATGTCTGTTGTGAAACATGCGTCCCTTGAGTAAAGGAAATAGTACTTGTTAGCAGCTGCTTGTTTTCATATGAAATGGCTTTACTAAGCAAAATAACGCTTTGAGAGCAATAGACATCCACTGCTGAGGGTAAGTCTTGGTAATAAATAAGTTAATTAAGAATGAATTCATTCTGATACAGCAACCATGGGGGTGATGGGTAATGAGCGGTAGACTTTTGCCCCTATTGACCTCTGGTCATGGGCTGTGACTGCAGAGGTCTACAGGAATACTTGTTTGCATTGTGTTTTGAAACCCAGTGGGATCTGGCTTTTCCTCTGTTGGGGCCAGCAATAGTTAAGTTGTGCTGGAACAGTTCAGCTCAAAAGTATGGCCTGGAAACCTGTGGCATCACTATCAACATCATAAGGGAGCTTGTTGGAAATTATCGGGTTCTAGACATACCTACCGAATCATAATCTGTAGGGGTCAGGGACAAATAATTGGTTTTAAGAAGTTCTCCATGTGGGTCTGTGTTCAGCAAAGTTTGAGAGCCATAGCAGGACCTTGCTACTCAAAATATTGTCTGTGGACCAGCTGTGTTGGCATCACCTAGGACCTTAGAAATGTCGGCTCTCCGGCTCTCCCCAAGGCCTACTGAATCAGAATCTGCATTTTAATATAATCTCCAGGTTATTTGTATGTACGTCACACTTTGAGAAGCACTGCACGCGAAGTCATTAATGTCTTCTTATGGGAAGTCACATCCTTCCCATAAAAGCATCTTGCGTTGGACCAAGGGAGAGAGCTCTCCTTCTCCATTGGCTTTTTCCTGTCTGATGTACGATGTTTGTTCAGTTTTCAGTAGTTTGGCTTAGTAGTATGAACACTCTGGATCACTCTTCCCTTCTGTGGCAATAGACTCTCCCAGAATTCCTCCTCTCTACCTTTCTGGCATTCCTTTTCAGTCTCATGTAAACTCTTCCTCTCTGGCTCATGGCTCCAATTTCCAGTGATATTCTGATCACGTGTAAGTGTTTATGTCCAGGCATAGCTCCTGACAGCCAGGTCCCATACATGTAGTGCCTATTGGAAATTTCCATGTGTGCAGAGCACTCAAACTCAACTCGTTAAAAATTAAACTTTTTCTAATCCCCAAACCTACTTTTCATCCCATGTGCCCCCTTTTCCTAATTGCTGTCAATAACTTAGGAGCCAAACTTGATTCCTCCCTGTTGTGTAGCCCATATATCCAGTCAAACACTGAGTCCCATTGGGTTTATTCCTAAATATCTCAGGACTTGCCCAACTTTTCCCCATCTCCATTGCCAGTACTGTAATCCAAGGCACAATTTTTTGTCTGGATCATTTCAATAGTCTGCTAACCGATTGCCTTACCACCACTCCTGCCCTTTGGCCTTGTCCACTCAGTCCACCCTCCATATAAAAAACATACTGATCTTACTAAGATATAAGTCTTTTGGTGGCTTACTGGCTTTATATAAAAAGCTCCTTAACAAGCTTGAAAGTACTGCTGTGAGTCAGGCTCCATTTACCTCTCCAGCCTCATCCCTACTTCCTATTCATAAATTTCCAAGTTTTTATAAGTGCCTGACTTAACTACTATTCAGCCTTTAAATTTCAGCTTAAATGATCCTTGCTGCTTGATATTTATATACTCCCCTCTCACTGAATCATAGCTTTTCTGTGTGATGCATAGAATACGGTGGAAGTGACAGTGTGGGACTTCTGAGGCCAGGTCATAAAGACATCCTAGTTTTAGCCTTATCCTCTCTTGGATTGCACACGTATGGGGGATGCCAGCCACCATGTTGTGAGGACACTCAGACATCGTGTAGAGAAGGCCACATGGGCGGCACCTGGCCTCTGGCCAACAACCAGCCTGCCATGTGAGTGAGCACCTAGGAGGAAGATCTGCCAGCTCCATGTCATCCATGCCACTCCCAAATATCTCATGCACAGATAGCGTAAGAATAATAAATGTTTATATTTGTTTTAAAGCCACTAAGTTTAGGGGTAATTTTGTTATACAATGATGGGTATTCGATATAGTAGTCATCCTCTGTATGGATGTATCATCATTTATTTAATATTGCCCTCTAATTGGACATTTAGATTGTTTCCAGCTTTACCCTGTTACATGCAGTGCAGAGAGAATATCCTTATATTTATGTAATTCTTTAGGATATATTTCTAGAAATAGAATTGCTGGAATTTAAATTAGGATAAACATTGGCAAACTACATTACAAAAGGTTAAAAATTGTATTACTTTACACTTCCACCAATGTGCATTACGGGGCTTATTTCAGTGTCCTTGTGAACAATGGATATTTTTAATCTTTGCCAATCTTAGGCGACAAATGATATATCATTTTAAATGTATTAGTGAGGTGGAGATAATATCAGGACATTATTGGCTGTTTGTATTTCTTTTTCTGTGATTTATGTTTTCATGTTCTTTGGCCAATCGTCGATTTAATCTTTATATAAAGGGATTATAGATTATGGATTTTAACATTTTTTTTTGGCTGCACTGCGTGGCATGTGGGATCTTAGTTCCCTGACCAGTGATCGAACCTGCGCTCCGTGCAATGGAAGTGCGGAGTCTTAACCATTGGACCACCAGGGAAGTCCCTGGATATTAACTTTCTGTTGTATATTTTGCAGGTATTTTCTCAGTGTTGTGTACTTCATATAGTGTGTTTCGCTTTGCATTGGTTTTCCATTTTATGTTATCAAATCTATCATCTTCCCTTTATAAAAGCTTCTGGGTTTTTCCAACATACTTAGGAAAA